CGGCAGACATCCAGCATATCAAGATCTTGCCCCAGTTGCCTAGCAAGGCACCTGTCGACGAGCGCCTCAGGGGAAACGACAGAGCTGAAGTGCCTGAGCCATCTGGCCTCAGCCTCAGCGGGAGTGGATGCGAGTGAACCATCCTCCAGGCGGAGAGCGGGGAGGGGAGTGACACCCCTCTGTTTACGCCGAGGGGGGCCCAAGGAGGGGCCTCAGTCTTTGAACAACCTCTCGTGTAGAGGATGTAGCTGCGGCAGCAGCGACTGTAGAGATGTGACTCTGTTTATCGCTGTGCAAAGAACGCCGGAAGAAAGGCCGTATCCTGCGAAGTTCAGCAACAGCGCTGTGGAGGGTGCAAATATTGCGCAAGGTATCAGCAAGCCCTGCTATGCCAGCCCTGCTAAGAGTACATCTCCATAGTAGGGCATTGAAGGCACGCCGAAGATCCCAGGAGTTTAGATCACCACTGGCAAGATGCGCCCTGCGTCGCAACCACACTCTTTGTTGTCTAAGAGCCCATGTTGTCTCAGAAAAGAACGTTCGGCGTCTGTGTGAACGCTGGACTGGAAATTTCTTGGCGAGGGAGCTGAGCACATGCTTGGCAACGATGTGGTAGTGTTCATGAACACCAACAGACCAAGAAACCTGAGGGATGCTGGCACAGATAGCCCTAACCTCAGCAAGTGATTCAGGCTGGGATGCCTTGGCAACATCAAAAGTACGCCGTGGCGGCGTAAAGGTCAAGCGTTCAAGTAACTCAACCTGGACAAGCAGCTGCACAGCGAAATGGTCAAGCCCAGCTTGGCCAAAGTCAATGTCATACAGGACCCTCGAGGCACCGAAGACAACATGCCAAGCAGAAGGTATAAGTACAAAGTCAATGCGTGAGACAGATGATCCGCCTGGCGCAGTCCAAGTATGACTATGTCCGCTATGGCACTCAATGAATGTCGACGGCACCCAAAGATCAAGGTGGTCAATGAGCCGAAAGAACTGTCCCGGTGGAGCATGCTCAGCTTCCCAGACAAGACTGCCGATGCGTGGTGGCGCTGCCTCGCACAGTCTGGCATTCAGATCGCCTAGGAGGATGACCTTATCTCCATTGGCAGTAGAAGTGACGAGGTCAGTGAAAGCTTTCCACCAAGACGCCCGCTCCTGATGTTGTGCAGTAGGGGCATGGCAAGTAACGAAAAGAAGTCGCAGGGTGCCTCGCGTAAAACGCACAATGAGAACGCGCGGGCTCCAGTGGAGGACCCTGAAGTCGCCAACCTCAAATTTTACAGGAGTACGGTCCTGCCAACCGAAAGGGTGGGTCTTAGAGAACCAAAGTTCGACACCTAAGCAGCCCTTAGAATCCCGTGAAGAAAGAAAACGAATGTGGCTGCCGGATACTACGGTGGCAGTAGCCTTGGCCCTCGTCTCCTGTAAGCCAGCAACAGTACATCCAAGACTGTCAAGCTGTTCTCGAATAAAAGGAACGCGGTTGGGTAAGGCTGAAGCCTCATCCTCACACAGCGATTGGACATTGACTGAAACCAGCGAAAGGCAAAGAGAGAAGGTCGCATGATTCTGTTCATGGACAGTGCTGGAGCCAAGCTGGCAACCAAAGTAGTCAGAAGCTAGGAGGGCCTCTTTATCGACAGGGCATTGGCCACAAGGATCTGTAAAGGCGCGACCACATAGCGTGGGCCACCTATTCGGAGCGCAAAGTGCAGAGATGGAAAGCCAAAGCCACGGGAGGTTTCCCTGCTCAGCCCACTCACAAAGCGGAGAGAGATGCCTGGCGATAGTCGTGTCGTCAAGGTGCTGTGCCCCAGCCAAAACATCGACAAGCTCATTGTACGGGTGCCCCTGATGTCCTTTAACATGGCAGATGGCATCGACAACTAGGCCGCCAGCAGCTTCAAGGGCTTGCGCAAGTGAGCGGCAGGCAACGGCGAAAGCAGCGTGATCCTGCGAACCCCAGTCTCCACTGGTCTGCCGTGCCGCAACAAGGCAATCGCTATGCAACGAACGCGAAATGGATCTGTCAACTCCAAAAAGCCAGCCTACCGCCCAGAAAAGGGCACTACGTTCTCCGTTAAGGGCAGAATGTTCGGTGGCACCGACGTGCCAAGGAAATCCTTGAAGCTGAACAGAGCCACGAGCCCAAGCGAACACGAATCGACCAGCACTGGACTGGGCTATAGCGGCAAAGGCCCAAGAACTGATACGACCGTCGAAAGAACCGTCAGTGAAGACCTCAATAGACTCAATCCCGGCTGCGAGGCCTGTGGCGTATGCAACATGTTCATGGAGGGCCCTCCTAGTAGCAGGATGCCAGGCTACAGTGGATGGTAGCTCATGCGGTGGCTGCCAAGAACCTCCTAACAATGCAGCAACCTGGCTGCTGGAGAAGAGGGGCTCAAGCGAAACCTGGGAGACATCATGCGAAACGTGGGTGGGCAGAGAGGCTGCTAGGCTGAGCACACTCCTGGCCTCTCCACCACTATCCCCAACAATGGGCAATTCAACCTCAAAATGTTCGAACAAGGTTTCAAGCCAAGTCGCGGCTAGAAACATGGCCTGAGAGTCGGGCCTTGCAATACTCTGCTCAAGCAAGGTAACGAGCTCAAAGGGAAAGCAATCGTGAGTCTGTCCATAACATGACAGACGGCTAGCACTACCATTAGCCCTGGCGGGCGTGGCGACTGGACGTCCTGATACTGCAGGATACGGTATTGGCAATTCAAGAGGGCCTTTAGTCTCATGATGCCGGATCCCAGTGCTCGTAATGTAGGAGGTGGCATCAACGATTGGACACTGCTCAAAGCAAAGAACAATAAGCAGTGGGAGACCCCTGCGGCCAACGATTAGCCCAAGGAGAAGGCTCCCAGCACATCCAGCAGTGACAACGAAGTGAACAACAAACAAGATGCTAATGACTCGCAAGGTAAGACCATTTCCATAGTCTGAAGACCGATGGGCACGGCCACCACCACGGTCCTTCGAGTGCGTGTGGCCAGTGTGTCCATGTGCATCAAAGTAGCCCGAACCGCGAGTGCCACCAGGGGCAGCACGTTCTCGCTGAGTGCTGCCAGTACCAGCATCGGCTCGGGAGGAAGAAGAGCTGGCGGCATCAGTGGCAGGCGGAGAATAAAAGCTAGACTCGGTGCCAGGGTGGAATACAAATGAATCTGGTGCGAGAGAACTAGCAATCTCCCTAACAAAGTCAGGCTGGAACTCGGCAGTAACGGTGTCCCCTGGTCCAACCTTACGAAAGTGATTCCCTTGATCATGGTGGAAGGACCCGCCAAAGACTCTTACGTGAAAGCCAGGAGGACATCTGAGAGACAACCGCCGGCAAAGGTTAACAACGTTAACCCAACCATCATCGGCAAACTGGAAACCAACCTGAAGAAGGGTTGGTCGCAAGTCGAGGACATAGGGAATGCGGCTACTATTCCGTCCTACAGCAAAGTCACTAGTCCGGCAGGCAACCTGAACACTATCGGACAAGACACCTTTGATGGCATGGTCATTGAGCCCTGGTGATGCCGGCACAAGAGTGAACTGCCCAGGCTGCAGTCCAATAGCATCGGCTGATTGCTGGCTGTTGGAAGCAAAACTGTCGGTCTCGACAGCGACAGCAAGACGAGGACCATCTGTGAGGATCCACGTAGTGCCGCCAGAAGCACCGGGAAGCTGGAAAGACGGATCCCATGCGTGGTGTCCCTCAAGGAGCAAACGGAGATCGACAGGGGCTCTGCCTCCATCGTCGGCTGTGCAAATATCAAGTACATCTCCCTCAGCGGGATAGAGATATACACTTGCTGGGACTGGCCAGGGTACGTCCCGAATCCTAACCTGAAGGGTAGGATCATCAGGAATTCCTGCAAGTGCAAATACGTCGGCTCGACAGATCCGATGCGGCACAATAGTGCAGAAGAAGCTGGGCCGAACAGCACGACACGTGATGAGCACTGCAATGCCTGGAAAAGTCCAGCTTGGTAAGGCAAGAAGGCAGGCATGTGAGGTTAGCGGCTGAGGGGAGACTGCGATTAGCCGAGGGCTACGGCGCTGGTCAGAAGCCTGCCTAACCTGAGCAACAGAAGTAAGGGCCTCAGAAACTCCTATCGGTAGAACAAGTCGAGGCGTGACAAGCTCAGGCCAATATTCCTGTGAGAAGAGCAGGAACGGGACAGGCACATCAGCAGATGACGTAGCAACTTGAGTGCCTGAACCAGTACCGGTATCAACCCCGTACGGATCATTCTGTGCATCAAGGCCATCCTGAGGACCATATCCAGCAGTGGCTCCAGCGCCGGCCCCAAGTGTGTCGTGGCCTGTAGCGTGATCATCACGCTGGGCCGGCGGTGAGGCACTGTTGCGAGTGTCAGCCCCTCCATGACTCCCCCGAGGAGACCGGCTGCGGTTGTCATTATCGGAGGAACTCGGCCGACCATCTACAGAGTGCTCAGGATCGTCAGTATCATCATCACTGGATCCATCCTCCTCACTCTCAAGAAGGTCAGTGGGGAGGACAAACTCGACAACGATATGTCCCCCGTCCTCAGTTCGAAGACAAGTTCCGACAGGTGTCTCGACACTCAGAGCCCCTTGGACTGACACGTAGTGACCGTCAGGGCACATATTGGCAAACTCATCGACAAACTGCTGTAAATTAAGCAGGTCATCTGCAAGTAATCTCCAGGTAATGCCTCGGAGAATCGGTCTTTGATCGATGACAAGGACCTTAGGAAGATGTATGCCTCTACGCCGCCTTGGGAGGGCAGCAGATGCAACAAAGACTGTTTCATTGGCACATCCATAGTGAAAGAAATCACGGATGAGAGGCAGGACAGGCACGATAGTCAGGGAATTGGGATCCCTACCCCGGGGCTCCAATGTAGGCAAA